AATTTTTATTTAACTATACTTTAATTATCTGTTTTTGTAATATTATTTAGTCTTATTAAGTGGATATGTTATATGCTTTCCTAAATAAACATAAATTTTTAAAATAATTTTTATAATCAGTTTTAATAATAAAAAGTGTGTTAAATAAAAATTACTATGAATAAAATGTTAAATGTTGTTTATTTAATGAAAACCTAAAATCACCTAGTTAACTCTATTAATACTGTATTTAAATGACAATATAATCCAGTTGATTTAGAGTCTTTATGCTTTATGACAGAATTTATTTCATAATTAATTTTTAATTAATAATAATTATATAATAATTTTACGATCTTTAGATAGCTATTAATATAAAGGCGAGTATTATTAACTTATGATACAAATGTAACAATGATTATATTTCATTAATGATACACGTATTTATGTTTTCATCAATACATAATATTGTTTAATTTTAAAAATTATTAAAACATGATTAATTATTGTAATACCCGGCTGATAATAAGACTAATTATAGTCATTGCATTCATAAGAAGGTTATAAAATTCATTGTTGTCTATAAATAAATTAAATAAAGAATAGAAATAAACTATAAAATGTTTAATTAATTAAATTAATAATGTAGTTTGGTCATAGATCAAATTGTTTCCGATGCAGTAAAAAATAATAAGAAAGATGAAAGTTAAAATTAATTGTAAAAATTGTATATTAATTGAATATTTTTGCAATGAATTATAGGAATTTCATAAATAACCCGGTATGTTTACTCATAAGTTATGTTATTGTTAAATTCAAAATGTGTTTTAATAATTATAGTTGGCTGTTACTAAATATGGTAATAACATTCATTGCTGCCTATAAATAAATTACATCAAGTAACAAAATTATCTATAAAATCTTCTTAATACGTTTGGTAGATTTCGAAATTCCAATAGAACCTGGTTGCTTTTATATTTTTATTAATGAGCAAACAAATAAGTATAATTCGAATAAATTATAGAGTGACATGTTTCTATAAATATTTAAGCAGGGTTAAATGTAGTATAATTAAAATTGGAATGCAAATAAGATTTATTTAAAATAATTCATCAACTGTAGATTACATTAATGCAAAAATAGACCATGTGCATAATTGATATACATAATAAACTTGATACATATATTATAATGCAAATAGTGTGGGAAAGGCATCATTATTTCAAACACCGTCGCACCTCCAATGGGACTGAACCCATGTGGTGTTTGCCGGGCAGTGCATCAAATAGGTTATCCATCCCTGAGGTCCCTTTACACACTGGTAGTACTCATGGGGGTCAGTCTCGTGAGGCATATTCCCCATCCAGCAATAGAAATCGGTAGCAGTGGACTCACCTGTGATATTAATTTTTGTAGCAGTAAATTAGAAAATGGTTCCAGGTTAAATTTACAAATGATTAAACTGTTAAACAAAACTAGCCTTTCAACCTTGCTTTCATATGACTTTCATAGTATTTTACCAGTAAAGATCAGTTATATTAAAGCAAGGTTGAAATGTGGTTTTGCTTTAGTGCATATCATATATGAGCATAATTAAAAATAAATATTTTAAACATAAATACATTGTTTGTTAGATTCACTCCAAAATGTCTTATTCGGACACTGTTTCAAAAGCAAATGCCATCCCTGGCCAGCGATAGCCTCGCACTGGAAATATGCGGTTGGGTCGGTCGGGTGAGCGATATACCCGTCCACTGGGCACACGGTATCCCACATCTGGCCTGTTGTTAATATAGACATGTTTAGATAATGACGTATGCTCAAATAAATGACAATTTAATGAAAAATACACACATTTTTGGTGTTTCTGACTCCAAATGGCTTTCTTGGGACAATGGCGCAAATAGATATCGGGGGTAGTACACTCGTAGTACTCCGTGGGATCGGCATCGTATGGGGCGTAACTCCAGCGCCTGCACCAGTCGTCAAACGGGGATTTATCGGCTAATTTTTAATTATAATAAATATTAGTATTATTGTATAACAAAGCTTGAGTAGTATAATAAATACTAATTATTTTTTATTTTTTCCACACTAAGTTCATTTAATTACAATATATTTGTAACATTATGTTAATGTTAAAATTCATTGAATTATATGTTAATGAAAATAGTTTACAATTTAACACTTATGTATGTATGCGTACATACCCTGACAAACGGCCACCAATAGGGACACAAATAGCAATAGTTTGGACATCATTTTGATTATAATACCCAAAGTGTGTACAAATGAACTGTGATTTCAATGAACGAATTCAGTGTTTATATACCTTTTGAATGGGATGTTCAATTTTATTTATCTCATGTATGGCTAAGATGATTTTTATTAATATTCCCGGATGAATCAAATCTCCCGGACTCCGTGACATAGGTAATTGATGTTATTAGTGGTGGAATTGTAGATTTACTTCAAATATTTATCTTATGTATGGTTAAGATCCTTATTATTAATATTCCGGATAAATCAAATCTCCCGGTATCTAATGGTATTTAATGAGCAATGAGGACCTCATTATGAGGTAATTATAATTAATCAATTCTCAAATCATTATATACTCAATGTACTTTATTAAAACTAGCGTAATGCAAGTAGTGCAACTTTTCATAGCATACAATCAAACATACAGTTATATGATGACGTAGTATTGAATGGCAATGTTGTCACGGATTGAAGTTTGTATTTATGTTACAAATATATATTGAAATATTGATTTCATGAAAATTTGAATTAGGGACGGACACTATAAGGGACAGACACTATTTATGACCACTTCTGGAATGAGAAATGATTTTTGTGAAAGGTTTTAGTGAATTTTATTAGCTTACGAATGTTAAGATTACACTGATATTTAATTAACCCTAATAAATAATTAAAATAGTGTATATTTCAGCATAATGTAGTGATGAAAACAATAATATACGGTATTGTTAAAATTGCAACATTATTTTCATAATTAATTTTGACTATGAAAATAAGTATAAAAATTATTGGATACTTATAAAATTATATTTATTAAAACTAATTTCAAAATCAATACATTATCATGATTGTTATCTAAATATATAATTCATGAAAACTTTCAAAAGTATAATTTTTCATACAAGAAAATGAATATAAAAATTGAATCGTTATATTTCATAATACTCCTAATAAAATATTAAAACTTTAATTAATATATCAGTTGATAGAAAACCCTTTGAATTGTTGTATTTATTTGATGATGGTACAATTAATCGATATTTATATGTATTATATTGAGGATAATATTAAAATATCGATTGGATTTCGCCATGTTCAAAGAATTCCTGTAGTATCATCGACCTTGCTAAACAGTATCAAAAATCTAACATTATTGTCCGAATATGATCCAACACATTATAAACTATATAAGTTTGTCCAACAAGAACCTAACGTTATTAAAAGATTATCCATGATCATCGGTCTTGTATTCAAATTTGCTGCTGATGTGCTAACCAAAAATGACCTAGTTCTATATCGTAAAATGATGTTTGATTACAATACAGTACTTCTCAGCTGCTACTATTTATTAACCAACGGTGCCAAGGTACCATGTCCCATGCCAGATAATATAATCAGGTTTCATCCTACTGAAGTCGTGCATCTACATCAAATCTACCCGAATAGTACCGGGCACATTCGTAGCCAACTACGGCATTCATTGAATAATGACGTACGACTGGCCCGTTTGGTCATAAAATACCGGTCCACACCATTGAATATGCTACCCTTTGCTGTACTATCTTCTCAATCGTTAACCAAATTTTGGATCGAAACAAATAGCGAAACCAATTTGTACTATACGTCCCATTCGTTTAGGCGTCAAAAACGGCATTCCCGTGACTGTAAACACCAGTCGATGGACGACCTGTTTTACGAAAACAATTTCCATCGGATTTCTAACTCTGAGTGCTTTCTACGTAGATTCAACCATACATTTGGATGCATACCGGTGCTGGGTTACGTGGTGTATTTTAATGTAGATATATTTATGAATGGCAATCAGCGAGGTTATAAATTTTGTGATAATTATACAAAATATTATGTTAATCACACGTTACGTATACAGATATATAGGCAATTATGTAAGTACGTATCGGTGCAAACTAATCCGGTACGTGTGCGATCAGGGTTAAATTATACGAAAATCAATGTGATCCAGATGAAATATTTTGAACCACAAATCAGTGAACATTTGGCTATGGATTTCAATGAATTTATTTATAATTTCGGTGGTATCGTAGGCATGTGGATTGGATTGACCATGTTGTCTTTTAATATTATCGTGATACATATTTTAAATATAAGGGTAATAATAGAATATATTGCGTATATGTTTAAGAATATTTATTATAAATTATCTTTTTAATTAAAAACCTTTTAAAAATGCAAAATGTTTTGTTACAATTTGTCTAACTATCTACCTGTGCCTTATTATCAAATTTCAATAACATTTCTTAAAATAATGATAAGGCGGCGTGCACAAAGTACGTACGCAAAATTTTGGTAAAAAATTGACCCCCCCTCCCCCCTACACGCCCATCGTATATAGGAATTTAACATGGTGACATACGCTTTGGCATGACCCCCCTCCCCCTACCAGTGCGTATGTACTTTGTGCACGCCGCCTAAAACTAAAATCGGGATTATGATTAGATTTGCCTGTCAATCCTTGTTGGATAATTGCTGGCTAATCAATTCATTGGCTTCAATGTTTGCCTTTATATCGTCGATGATTACATATTTGCGTAGGGTCAATAGTCTTATGATAATAATCATGGATAATTTAAGGTTTAGCGCCAGAATAGTAAACATGTTTAGGAATTTTAAAATATTTTTTCAAATAATAGTTAAATGGACTCATGTGCTAGTAAAGCTTATTGTTTTTTGATATTACATTATTCATAATTACCATGGCAACTCAATGTTATTTATATAATTTAAAACTTTTAATTACAAATCAATTAATTGATAATCAATAGACTTACAACGAAAGTAATGATTATAATATGCATATAATACAAATAAAAGGAAAATAGTTTTATATCAATAATTTGATAATGTCAAAAGTTAATGATAATTGTTATATAAAATACGTTAATACGTACTGGGAATTAAAATATTTTTTGAATTAATAATATTGATTCCTATATTTTAATATATTTTTCAATATTTTATATTCATTTTATGATTAGTCATAAAATTCAATATATTAATGATTTAATATATCTTATTGGATATGTAGAAAAATATGACAAATTATTTAGACTTATTTAGAAGTAATCATACTGGTATATTATATTTTCATTTATATAATAGTGTATTACTTTAAAAATAATAACTATTATAAGCAAAATATTGATAAACTTTGATTATAAGTTTTAAACTATCTTGGAATATAAAAATTAATTATTAAAGTATTTATTTGAGTTTCAAAAATATCTCTAATACCATAATAGGTGTGAAATATTATGCAAATTCAAGGATATGAATAAAAAAGTGTTCAAAATATACATTACTAACAGCGCTATGAATGCTATGCATTCCGGTTGACCAATGGTATGCATCACTTAATATGCAATGCAGTGAAGTCCGTCACAATTGAATCAGTGTTTGCCATTGAAATGATTAGGCGATTTCCACAAAGTATGTACGCGCGCCTTGTAGGGGGGGGAGGGTTCATGGCAAGTCGTATATAAAGTTGATCGTCATTCAGGCAATACCATTGTGGCAAACATTCATAATATGCGTTAACTTTAACATACAGTATCACATTTATAAAAATTTTAATCAATACTTGGAATGCATTTAAGATTTATTTAATAATTATCAGTTATAGGAAAGTACATTAATTCATTAATAGACCATGTGCATAATTGATATACATAATAAACTTGATACATATATTATAATGCAAATAGTGTGGGAAAGGCATCATTATCTCAAACACCGTCGCACCTCCAATGGTTCTGAACCCACGTGGTGTTGGCCGGACAGTGCATCAAATAGGTTATCCATCCCTGAGGTCCCTTTACACACTGGTAGTACTCATGGGGGTCAGTCTCGTGAGGCATAAACCCCATCCAGCAATAGAAGTCGGCGGCAGTGGACACACCTGTCAAATGTATTTTGTAAACGTAAATTAGAGAATGGCTACAGGATAAAGTTACAAATTATCATGCTGTTAAACAAAACTAGCCTTTCTACCTTGCTTTCACATGACTGTAATAGTGTGTTACCAGTACTAATCAACCATATTAAAGCAAGGTAGAAATGTTGGTTTTGTTTTAGTGCACGTCATATATATAACATAATTTAAAAATTAATATTTTGAACATAAATACACTGTTTGTTAGATGAACTCCAAAATGTCTTATTCGGGCAATGCTTCAAAAGCAAATGCCATCCCTGGCCAGCGGTAGCCTCGCACTGGAAATAGGCGGTTGGGTCAGACGGATGAGCCACATACCCGTCCACAGGGCATACGATGTCCCACACCTGGCCTAATGTTAATATATACATATATAGATAATGACCCATGTTAAAATAAATGTTAACTTAATAAAAATACTCACATTCTCGTTGTATCTGACTCCAAATGGCATTCTGTGGACAATGGCGCTTATCAAGGTATGTACCATTTTCTGACGTATAATGGCACTCATAGTACTCCATGGGATCGGACTCACACGGGACGTAATGACAGCGCCGGCACCAGTCGTCAAACGGGGAAATATCGGCTAATTTTTAATTATAATAAATATTAGTATTATTGTGTAAAGAAAGGGCTTACAAAAGCTTGAGTAGGGTACTTGTGGATTAGGGATTCAATGTTGTAGGTTTATATAATAAGTTATCATTTATTGAATATAATATTATAATGAGATTACTTTACATAGAGAATAAATACTAATTATTTTTCCCATTAAGTTGACTTAATTAAAAATATGTTTATGTTATAATTCATTGAATTATATTTAAGTGAACATAGTTTATAATATAGCGCTTATGTATGCGTACATACCCTGACAAACGGCCACCAATAGGGCCACAAATATCAATAGTTTGGACATCTTTTGGTTATTATACCCAAAGTGTGTACAAATGAACTGTGATTTCAATGAACGAATTCAGTGTTTATATACCTATTGAATGGGATGTTATAAATGAATGTATTTTAGGTAATCCTCGTGAAATTTTATTTATCTGATGCATGGCTAAGATGATGATTATTAATATTCCCGGATAAATAAAATCTCACGGACCCCAGTGACATAGGTAATTATAATTTATCAATTATTAAATTATGATATCCACTTATAAAATGACTGCCAACATTTCAATTATTAGATAGCATGTAATCAAACTTACAATATATCACGATCAAGTTTTGAATGGCAATGTTGCCAAGGATTGAATTTTGTATTTATGTTACACATACTCATTGAAATAATAATTTTCTCAAGTGTATTCAACTATTTGTTGAATACTTGTTGGAAACTTATAGACTTTTTTTGAAAAAAATATTGTCGATTAAATTATTAATTTATAATTTTTAATATACTTTATAATTATAATTAGTCTGTTAACATTATTAGTATTTCGGAATTTAAGTACTGTTTAATTCAGTGTTAACCAACTCATTTATACAATCCGTAAGTGGGAAATTTATACACATAACTAAATATGGAAACCTTTGTTGTGTAAAATAGTTAATATAATTTGGGAATTTTTGATTGGATATGAAAGTCCATTCATTGCTGAGCCCTAAGATGAAATTTATACTGTCCTGTAATTTATATCAATTATATAAAGTATTTTACGCAGAATATGATGGTAATATTAAAATTAATATATTTTATATTAAAAAATTTCCGATAAAAGTGGTCTCAGCGACCGAACCCGAGGCCACAGGACAATATAAATTACATCTTGGACTTTCATATCCAATCAAAAATTCCCAAATTATATTAACTATTTTACACAAAAAAGGTTTCCATATTTAGTTATGTATACAAATTTCCCACTTACGGATTGTATAAATGGGTTGGTTAACACTGGTTTAATTCAATCACATTTTTAAAATTATTTTTAAAACAACTAAATGTTCCATATAATTTTTTAAATATGTAAAACATTATTATATTGTGGTTAATTATGCAGTTTTTTTAGAAATAGTTAAATTCGATTATATTTAAACACATATTTTTGAGATATTAACAATTCCTCATGTAGATAAAACGCATCTACCTAATTATAATTGTAAGCCATCATAATTAGTACCAATTGAATTACGATCCCGGGCCTTAATTGTGACCTCTACCTTATCGGACTGTAATTAGTAAAATCCCTGTCACCAGTTAAACGACGTTGCTACAATCACCCATCTATTTCATTTGCATATTAATACCTATGATTTAATCAATAGAATAACGGGTTTTCTCAATATTTAAACACAATATATTACTATCAAGTACATTGTATTACTAATATCTATAATAAATAGTTCAATTCGTAGTTTGAATATAGAGAACATTAATTCATATGAATTGATGGATGCAATAACGGATGTATACCGACGTCAACCTTATTATTATAGAAAAATGTCGAGAATGCCATCCAAAACGGGTTGATAGCCTCCTGGTGGTTGTAGTCGTTTAAGTAAGTCATACAAAAACTTCCGTCCCGTCGATGCCGTACATATACCGGCGCTATGAGCGAGCAATCTGTCATAGGGTAGGCGCTGCCCCGGGAACTGCACCAAAAGTTAATGGATCGCCAAAACTCATAATTGGATTGATTTCGAGATTCGCGTGAATAGTATTTATTGAAACAGAAAGTGATGGACGAGTTGTACACAAAGTACGCGGAGTTTGGGTCGTATTGCAAGTCGTTATTCACGTCGTACTCTAAGTAATGGACAGTTTGTTCAATAACTTGATAGACAAATGCAATGACTATAATTAGTCGTATGAACAACCTGGTATTACAATAATTAAACATGTTTAAATAATTGCATTCATTAATATAACCTGGTTAATACAAAATATATTAATGCTTTATTTGATTTCAACTTTTTGTATTTGCTAAATTTAATTATAAAATTTTAATTTAATTATTTAGTATTGTTTGAAATTTCTTTATATATTAATTAAAGTTTTAATATTTTATTAGAAGTATTATGAAATATAACGATTCAATTTTTATATTCATTTTCTTGTATGAAAAATTATACTTTTGAAAGTTTTAATGAATTATATATTTAGATAACAATCATGATAATGTATTGATTTTGAAATTAGTTTTAATAAATATAATTTTATAAGTATCCAATAATTTTTATACTTGTTTTCATAGTCAAAATTAATTATGAAAATAATGTTGCAATTTGAACAATACCGTATATTATTGTTTTCATCACTACACTATGCTGAAATATACACTATTTTAATTATTTATTAGGGTTAATTAAATATCAGTGTAATCGTAACATTCGTAAGCTAATAAAATTCACTAAAACCTTTCACAAAAATCATTTCTCATTCCAGAAGTGGTCATAAATAGTGTGTCCCTTATAGTGTCTGTCCCTTATTCAAAGTTTCATGAAATCAATATTTCAATATATATTTGTAACATAAATACAAACTTCAATCCTTGACAACATTACCATTCAATACTACGTCATGATATAACTGTATGTTTGATTGTATGCTATCAAAAGTTGCACTACTTGCATTACGCTAGTTTTAATAAATTACATTGAGTATATAATGATTTGAGAATTGATTAATTATAATTAGCTCATAATGAGGTCCTCATAGCTCTTTAGATACCAGGAGATTTGATTTATCCGGAATATTAATAATAAGGATCTTAACCATACATAAGATAAATATTTGAAGTAAATCTACAATTCCACCATTAATAACATCAATTACCTATATCACTGGAGTCCGGGAGATTTGATTCATCCGGGAATATTAATAAAAATCATCTTAGCCATACATCAGATAAATAAAATTGAACATCCCATTCAATAGGTATATAAACTCTGAATTCGTTCATTGAAATCACAGTTCATTTGTACACACTTTGGGTATTATAATGAAAATGATGTCCAAACTATTGCTATTTGTGTCCCTATTGGTGGCCGTTTGTCAGGGTATGTACGCATACATACATAAGTGTTAAATTGTAAACTATTTTCATTAACATATAATTCAATGAATTTGAACATAAACATACTGTTACAAATATATTGTAATTAAATGAACTTAGTGTGGAAAAATAAAAAATAATTAGTATTTATTATACTACTCAAGCTTTGCTGTACAATAATACTAATATTTATTATAATTAAAAATTAGCCGATAATTCCCCGTTTGACGACTGGTGCTCGCGCTGGAGTTACGCCCCATACGATGCCGATCCCACGGAGTACTACGAGTGTGACTGGGAACCAGACCAGCGTACATACCAGGTTCATTTGCGCCATTGTCCCGAGAAAGCCATTTGGAGTCAGAAACACCGAAAATGTGTGTATTTTTCATTAAATTGTCATTTACTTGAGCATACGTAATTATCTAAATATGTCTATATTAACAACAGGCCAGATGTGGGATACCGTGTGCCCGGTGGACGGGTATATCGCTCACCCGACCGACCCAACCGCATATTTCCAGTGCGATACTATCGCTGGCCAGGGATGGCATTTGCTTTTGAAACAGTGTCCGAATAAGACATTTTGGAGTGAATCTAACAAACAATGTATTTATGTTTAAAATATTTATTTTTAATTATGCTCATATATGATATGCACTAAAGCAAAACCAACATTTCAACCTTGCTTTAATATAACTGATCTTTACTGGTAAAATACTATGAAAGTCATATGAAAGCAAGGTTGAAAGGCTAGTTTTGTTTAACAGTTTTAATCATTTGTAAATTTAACCTGGAACCATTTTCTAATTTACTGCTACAAAAATTAATATCACAGGTGAGTCCACTGCCACCGATTTCTATTGCTGGGTGGGGTATATGCCTCACGAGACTGACCCCCATGAGTACTACCAGTGTCAACAGGGACATCCAGGATGGATCACCACTTTGATGCACTGTCCGGCACAGACCACATGGGTTCAGTCCCATTGGAGGTGCGACGGTGTTTGAGATAATGGTGCCTTTCCCACACTATTTGCATTATAATATATGTATCAAGTTTATTATGTATATCAATTATGCACATGGTCTATTTTTGCATTAATGTAGCCTACAGTTGATGAATTATTTTAAATAAATCTTATT